GAGTTGCCACCAGCAATTCACCTGGACTGGTAGCCTGGCACAGTGCCTGGGGGACATCCCCACACTCGTGACAAGGTCATTCAGGACCTACTGGGCTCACAATCCCTCTGGGCACCCAAAACATCCCCCTGCCACCCCAGGCACCTGCAAACCTGCACCCTCTTCCTCAGACATCCTCCTCCACCCTTCTGCAAAGCCTCCAAAACACACATTTAATTTTGATTTAAGGCAATAGTTACTGTGGTCAATAAATACCAAAACCATATTAAAGGAGGATTAATAGCCACGTAACAGCCAAGTGTCTATTGCATAACCCTTCACGAGCATCAGTGGCCTCCCACCACGCCACAGGGCCTCCAGCCATCCCCTCCCATCCCTCCCTGCCTCCCCAGGGCTGGCAGAGGTTGGGGGTCCCATGAGAAAGGGATGAGATTGCTCCACAGCTGCCAGGCAGGACAGGGGGATCTCCAAGTGTTAAAGCTGGTTAAAAGCATCAGCCCGTGGCCGCAGCACCCGCCCGGAGCGGCTGAGCACCGCCTGGGGAGGATGGTCCCCAAAGCACCTTGGCACGTGCTCGTGGCCATGGCAGCGAGCCTGGAGACAGCTACGAAATCCCTGCATGGCCCCTGGAACGTGCCGGCCCCTCTCTGCCTGGTAAAAAGTAGGTGTTAAACAGCTCAGTGTATCCTGCTTGTGTTTTCTCCTTCTGGGAGGGGGAGGAGGCAGGCGGCACCCCCATCCCACCTCCCCATCCTGCTGACACTGCACCCCGCAGCATCTCAACGCCTGCAAGGGCAGAGCTACTCACCCATCTCTGGGGTTTCCCCGCTTTGGGGGGCACTGCCTTGAAATGCAGCATTCGGGGTCCCCAGTTTGTCCTGGCAATAGAGGAGCCAGAGCACCCCGTGGCTGTGGGAGAGGCCAGGCAGGGCCCAGGCTCCAGGGGTGGCAGGTGGTTTGGGTAGGAACAGCCAGGACACACTTTCATGGGAGGGGAAACTGAGGCAGGGGCCAAGCCAAGAGGGCCCTCCCTGCAGAGCCTCCCCTGCTGCAGTCTGGTGCTGCCCCCCCACCATCCAGCTGTGTGGAAAGTCAGTTTAAAACAAAAAGAATAAAAAACGAAAAGGCACATTTTGAACAAGTGTTGATCGGCTTCAGCTGCAAATTCCTTTGTCAGGGATACTGGAATTACTGGAGCTGGATGGTGTGAACATCTGTGCAAAGCACACGAGGGGGAGCACAGCCGGCTCATCCCCCAGCCCCCGCTGCTCCCTGCGGATGCTCCAGCGGGATGCAGAGCATGGAGGCTGCCCCACCTCCCGGTGCAAGCTCCCCAAAAGGCCCCGAGGCGACTCGAGGGACTCACCACACCAGCGCGCCGGCTGCAGGTTCCCTCCAGGGGAATGCTGGAGTAGCTGGGGCAGGACAGGCACGGAGGGACTCCCTGCACCACCCTACAGCTCCTGCCACCCCTGCCAGAGGCTCCCTTAGCATTTTGGGGTGTGAGGGAGCTTTTCCATGACTTCCAGAGCAGCTGTGAATAACATCTCCTCTCACATCAGCACCCCTGCAGCCCCCAGCTACCAAAACCTCTCTGTTTATGCCCAAAATAATCCTCAGGCAGGAGCTAATTGGCCACTCAGGCAGGAGCAGATTGGGTGCTGAGGTGTTGGCTAACTGGCCACCCAAGCATAGTGCAATGGGGTGCTCACCCGTGAACTAGTTGCAGGCCTGGGTGTGAATTGGGCACCTATGCCCAGGGAACCCATGCGGGAAACAACTGGGTGCAGAAACCTCATTGCTTTGCCCAGCTTTGCTTCTTGGAGGGGCTGGAACCAGGGATGTCCAGATTGCAGCCTGACGTGTGCCTCATTGTGCCTCAGACACGGGAGCAGGATGGGACCCAGGTTTGGGGACACCCATCTCCATCCCCCTCTCCCCCAGATGCAACCTTCCAAATAACAAACAGCTTTCAAAGCCCTCGCTCCCATTGATGTCACATCAATGCCAATGGAGATAAAAGCCAAGAGACCCAGAGCCAGCATGGGCTCTGATGGGGAATATTAATTAGAGGGAAAGCCTCATTAGAGCAGCAAGGGCGGCCGCTGGCACTGCCTGCCCCCCATGGGTGTGCCCCAGTCCCCCCAGAGTGGCATGAGGGGTGTCAGCCCTGCCAGCTGCCTTGGTGGGCTGGGCAGTGGGGTGCACTGCAGATGCCCCAGGGTAAGCACCAAAATGTTGAAAGGTTTGGGGTTTTTTAATTAAAAAGAAGGAAGGGGAAAACCTGCTTCTTTCCATCCCCAGCTTCAGGGGCTTCCAGGCAAGCTCAGAGCCCCAAGCAGGGTGATAAACCCTCCCTGTGCCCTCCAGAGCAGCCCAATGGCAACCCCAAGCGATCTGGGGGGGGGAGAAGCAGCTCATCGATTATTTGATGTATTTTGAGGTGGTTTTTGTGACATCTCTGCAGCTGGAGGGGAGCGGAGGGCTCTGCCTGTTGCCACCCCAATCCTCCCTGCTACCAGGGAAAGGGGGGGCCTGTGCTGCTCTGGGGGTGAGTCCCCAGCAGCCCCCACATCCACTGCCAAAGGAAACACAGGAAGGGGCCAGGAAAATGGATTTTAAGAAGCAGCACGGGATCCTTGAGCACCCAGCCCCTTCTCAAACACCCTCCCAAGAGCCCGGGCAGCTCCTGCCAGCCCCATCTCCTATTACTCACCCCAGAAAACACCACTTGCAGCAAGTCAAAGGCACTTGAAGTGAAACTGGGGGGTTAGCAACAGCAAAGTAATGAGGAAGCTTCGCTGGGAGGGTTTAGCAGCCGTGGCCACACCAGCTCCTGTGGCCAGCAGCACCCCACCTGGC